TTGAGCACTGCCACAGTTAAATAATTGAGAGCTCTGCAAGCATAGTCCAGAAAAGTCGAGAAAAATTCCTAGATTGGACCGGAAATCGAACCCAGCCACCACCATCATGATCTTGCATCATAGCTGCGGCTTTACAAAGGGGGAGGTCTGGGCATTCAATATGACTGCCAATTATTTACATTGTTTATAGATTTTCAGGTGATTGAATGATGATGGATTTTTATTCGGAACATATCCAGGTGTGGCCAATATGGTCCTGTGTACTCACGACGATTCATATTTTTGTTATTCGTGATTTTATTCGCCCATGAGTTTTGACTTGCAAAATTTAACAACGCAAAAATCACCGAAGAGTTTTCAGGTTTAAAAATGCATTGCCCGATATTTTTGTGTTATTCACTGTTATTAATACCTTATACACGGTTATTACTGTTGTTTTTGCATCAGTGGATGGAAAACTAACACAACATGCATGACGCATGAGCATGCTATTAATTGAAGTTTGAGGGGATTCGAATTCTCACATGACCATAATTTAAAGAGCCCCTTTCTCATTCGAAGTGGAGTATGGAAGCAAAATGGTCCCGAACAGATTTAAGGTCGATATCGACGCAATGTCGTGTTGTTGTCGGGTAAATTTTGGGTTTATGTCGGGTCAATGTCGGATCAACATCGGGTTGGGGTTTGGTAGAAGTCAGGTTGGTGTCGGGTTGGCTTAGATTTTTCGCTGGAATGTCGACCAGAGCTCCGTTTATGTGTAGGTTACACTAAATTGAATGACATCAAGCGTTTCTCAAATGAGAATGACCCATGCCTTCGTCAAATGGCTAAGTAACTGATATCACCCATTCGAGGGAGGTCCCCTTTGATATCGGACAGCTGCTTTTCTCATTTTCATCAAAAATGTACAATTGATTTTGAGGATTTACAGCACTGCCCATAAGTATTGAGATATATATCGCTGAACCTGCTGAACACGACTGTCCAATCTTCTGTATACAAGAAAATTAACTCTGGACGGATGTTTGGTTTCCCACTTTCCCACAAATCAGAATCTGTAACATTGTATGTATAAACGATCGAAATGATATTTTTTTCTCCAATCAATTACAAGAGAATCAATATCAATTCTTTTATAATAGGTACTCAGATGCCCTATAAGATCACCATCAAGGAAGTGCTTTGTCCGTTGGACCCTTAATGCACTCCTTTCAGCTCCAAAATTTGATAAATTGGTGCAACGGAAGCAGATAAAGTAGAGTATCTAGTGCTCGGTGCGCTGCCCATTGCACCAGTTATAGAGAGAGTGATCCTCAGCTTCTTCTGAGCTGATTTTTCTTTAGTTTTCGGCCGTCAAACCAAAGGTGCATGGTTATTATGGGTCTACTATCGTCAAATAAATCCAGTAGATGGTCCCCATTTTCTACCAAACTTTTTTTTTACTTATCCAAAGAGCATTTGTTGCCTTATTAACTACCTGCTCTTGATGTGAGTTTCAAATGAGTTTGCTGTCAAGAGTTACTCCCAGATACTTGACTGTGCTTGAAAGATCTAAAGGCGTTCCTTTCAATTTTATGTTATTTATAGAAAATGTTAAAGCTTAAGCGCAGGTGAAGAAATCGGCCACAGAATCCTGAAAATTTCTTCTAATCTAAAGCAGACACCACACGGCTAAAAAATACACAAAAGTATTGACATTCATATTGATGCAAATATTGACGACAAAAATGTTGATTCACTTATCGTCAAAAAAAAAAGTTGATTTCGCGATTCAATACTTCCCCTCATTTTCCCTCTTTGGCTACAGCAGCAGTTTTCATTTGTTTCGGAATAGTCCATCGGAAAGAAAAGGGCTTACAAATTTAATGAGGAGTAACCCTGTATTGAGACAAACCAAATTTATTGTTGAAAATATTGATGCAACTATTGACAACACCTCTGCCATGTGGGGTGGGCACTTAAAGATAATTCTCGACCAAACCAACAGAAACTTTCCCCTACACGATGATGCTGTGGGTTTGCATTGGCGGCCTACGCTTTGCGAGGAAAGGGCTAACGAGTTTTGTTGGTCGAGAATTGATCTTGAGATAAAGAATGTCATTTCCAAGCTACCAACATGAAACATATAGTTCTGTAATTAATTTCATGGGTAATGCAACGTCGCAAATGTTGAGTTTGTCGAGTCGAGCTTAGAGCATCTCCATGTCCATTGTTTAGTGACCGCTCGTCTAGTCTAGGACGTTAGTTTCAAATAGATCCAACAAGGCACATGTCATACAAAAAGCAATTGTTCGTACCCATGCCATATCAAAGTAGGTATTCGAAACGCTTAGCCAAAGCGAAATGGCTCACGCATTTCAATTTAGCTAATTTGATAGAGTATTTTTTTTTTGAACGATCAGCAAAAACTGCACCGGAAAGCAATCGTTCGATAGGCCTTGATTCCAAATGTTCACAGAAACGATGCGATAGGCTCGTGAATATTTACCAAGTTGGTACAATACAGGAAGTGGCAACTCACCGGCTGGCCCACTTCAATTGTGCAATCAACAATGTGGTTCCTATTCCTAACGTCACCGTTCCGCTCGTCGCAATAATCCAAATTGAAGAGCAGATGAAACTGATTTGGAACCGAAAATTGTATTATCATCAATATAGATGCACGATAAACGGGATGCTTACTGGTTCGACATGATGCAGTCAGTGTTGCATAGTAAATGCATTCTGCATGCCAGAATCGCGAATCGAAGCAATTGTACGTTATTTCTGTTTGCATTGATATGACCAAACCGCACAGATGATGATGATGATGATGATGATAATTCAATAAACATCGAAATTAGCGTTCATTATTTACTTCAATTTGATTGCGGCTGCATCGACAGAATCGAATCCTTTTTCAGAATAGTTTTGCCTAAATCCAAACTTCCGGCGGCGGTTTGTGAAAAATGTTGACCCCTTCCCCTAGATAGTAGAGCATTAGAAAAATAGTTATCGTTATTTTTAAACAGATATGCAAATTATAGCAAATAGTCAATAATTTTAATTTTAACAGTCAGCGTAGATCTTGGACACACCCCTATCGTATTTGCATTTTCTAAACCAGCACATGTTCCGGTTACTTCCACTGTTGTAGAGAAATATTAATTTATTATTTAAATATAATTACAATAATTTCAATGGGTTATCAAACAATAAATAATTGATGAAAATTGCCTCCCGTATACAAGCCGGCACCCTGTAGGGATGGTGGCGCGGCAACCGAATGGGAATGCGTGACACTCAAGCCACCAGCAATTACGGCAGATATCGTTTCCACATAATTACTGGTACTTGTATGAATGCAATAAAACAAGGATAAAATGATAAGCTCGACAGGATGTTCATTTGCATAAAAGTAGTTGTTTTATAATTAAATTGAAGAACCCGTCTAGTATAACCTATTCTTGCTATTACTCATTGGTAGTAAAATAAACGTTCGCTAAACGAAGGTGAAAATCCGATTGTTTGCAACGAAATCGTCGAGGAAAAATTGAGGTATACCAAAAAATAGATCCAACTGTACTTATTTTTGGAGTTTTATCTGCCGAGATATGCACAACCGAACTTCCACCGAATACATTTTACTGATACCTCAACAAAAGTGGCTTGTAGTTGCTGACAAACGTTAGTTTGGATCTCTGTAAAACTCGTTGTCGAGCTTTGCAGGTTGTGCAAATCTCGACAACCAATTACTAAGATAGGGAGTATGGGTGTAGATTTTTTAAATTTATCTATTGACAATTTTGATCAATTTAAGATGTGAATGCTTTATGTGCCATTTATATATTTTCCATTATTCGATTTACATAAATCAAGCTTCTTAAGTTAATGTATTATTTTTTATATCATGGTCGTAAGTTTTATTCAATTTTTGAGCCTAAATTAGTGAAATGAAAGTCGCAACGGATTTCATAGAGTGATAACATGTAATCTGCAAGCTACTCTCAAAATTGCGAAGACTCTGGATGTTTATTCCGTAAAAATGGAAGCAACGTACAGGATTGCTGAGGATAAAACACTCTCTATTAAGTTCAAAACGGAAAAATCAATGCTGTATGATTTACTGCATAACCCTGAGCAATTAGTTTTCCGTTATGCTGATGGAAAGACAATTAAGGTACGCATATCATCTACGGGGGCATCAGTTAGCCTAGTCAGTAATGGCATGGAAGGCGAAGGCGAAGTTCAAATCAAATCAGTTGTTGATTATTGCATCGCCCTTTTGCCACATCGCCTTGTCGTAGCTCCTCACTTGGTTGTGTTCTAATTCGTACCGCTCACTAACGAAAGTGTGCAAACCAATTAGCAGCCAAAAAGATAAATATGTACTTACATACATTTCGATAGAGTACATTCTAAGTCCCCTATGTAGGTAGGTACGTTCGATGGGTCGATTCATTCGTTGTCCAGGAGATGACCACACATTTAATAGTGACATATACACATTTAATACCACCGTCCTGCCGCCGGGTGCAGCTTCATTCGAAGTCACCACTGTTGAACTTTGAATATTTTATTTGCTCCGGAACAAGGGCCACGGCCTTTAACACTAGGTAGGTAACTTTCAGACTGTCGGTGTCAAAGGCAGAATGTGAGTGTTTAAAAACAACACAGTAGGAGCATGAGTAGGAGGGAGGAATGCAGATGACTAGTTTTTGATTACCACAAAGAAGTACCTTCCTAAATGGGAAACTAATTTCTCTTGTTATCACCACAGTTGCTTCTCATTAAGTGAATGAATTTCAAGATTAGGATTTAAAAATAACATCAAAGGCCGATGTCATTAATTCGTTGCTAATATTTAATGCACCTAAAAGTAATTTATAAAGCCGAATGAACATATCCCAAAACCGATCCGAGTGTGAGCAATTATTATAGTTAATTTACCAATTTACCTACCCTACCTACGTATCAACATGAATTAATAATCGCTCTTTTTATCTCTACTTTCTTTGCAGACAAGGGTAGCGCATTGCACTCTTGTTTCGTGTGCAAGGCCGAGATGTGCCCTCGTACTCGCCCGCTGGAACGTGGTCGGGGTGCGCAGTACGGCATACCGGAAGAAGCGATACCGCCGGGAGCACGTGTTTGCAATACGTGCCAATGCAAGTCAGTGAAATCTAGGTACGACTCGCAGTATTATTCTCCTTCCGCTCTAGCACAGGGTTTAATATTGAACGATCAATCCGTCCATTCTAGATATACGCATTGTCCCCTGCCGACCTGTCCCAATCCGAAAGATAGAGTGAAACGTTTCCGAAATCTTCCACCGCGTCTCTTTGAACTCTCACCGGAGATCCGCGATCCAATCGTTCAAGAGCTACAAATTCCACCTAACGTGACAAAATGTTGTTCCGCTTGTTTGACTCGTATTCGTCGCAAGATGGGGCCACATTTAAATCTTACCGACGAGGAAGTTGCACGAATGAAAAAGCTGTTGCAAGATGTTGGTCCCAAATGGAACCAACTGGCAGAAACCATGAACAAAACTCCCGTTGCGTTGAAAAGCTTTTACATTCATTACAAGAAAAAATACAGCTTTGATCTAGCTGTGACTGAGTACTACAAACTGCATCCTGGCGAAGATCGTCGCCCGGTAATGACCGATGGCGATGAATCAGATATGAGTGCTTCCTCTTCAGATGAACGGGACGCAAGCAGCGACACGACTGCTTCCGCTGAGAGTCCTAACAACTCCGTTCCACTGAATGTCACGAAAGAGGAAATCATCGCAGTTCCTGAAACATTGGCCCCACCACCTCTTACCAAAAGTTTCGAAGACGATCGGTTGTTGCCACCTGGTCAGCCGCCTAGGAAACAGAAGCTCACCGAAGAGTATGACAGTTCGGCTACTGAGACGGCAGACGAGGAAAACGAAACCTCACCTGCAAACCGACAGAGTCCTAAAGTACTTTATCCTCCGCTAGGTGGAGTAAATCCCGTTATGTCTGTGCACCACTCTTCTATGCAGAACGGACCTCGCGGCAATGATGTTGGCTCACCTCTGAATGTTCGGGATGTGATGCTGAATGTGATAGAAAGATCTGTAATGTCCAACAATTCAGCGAAACCACCACCGATGAAATCTATCGGTGAGTTATCTTTTACACCTCGAGATTACAGGGATTTGTCGAAGGTGCCACCCAATCGACCCTCTTCGGGAGAAATGGCAACTCTTTCAGTGGTGAATTCCCTTCCTCACGGTCAACCGAAGATCATATCTCATCATCCCCATCCGATGAGTTCTCAAATACAGGCAACCATTACGCCTGTTCCACAGCAGCAGCAGCAGCAACAACAGCAACAACAGCAACAGCAACAACAACAGCAACAGCAACAACAACAGCACCAACAACAACAACAACAACAACAGCACCAACAACAACAACAACAACAGCAGCACCAACAACAACAACAACAACAACAACAACAACAACAACAACAACAACAACAACAGCAGCACCAACAGCACCAACAGCACCAACAGCACCAACAACAACAACAACATCAACAGCAACAACAGCAACAACAACAACAACAACAACAACAACAACAACAACAACAACAACAACAACAGCAGCAGCAGCAACCTCCGCAATTGCTAGCACAGACTCAGCAGATTCCACCTTCGCTGCAGCAACAGCAGCAACAAGCGTCACAATCACAGGCTCAATCTGTCCAGCTATTGCAGCAGCCTTCGCAGCAGCCAGTCAGCTCTAGTGCCCACGAAAAAGATGTCCCGGTGGTCTTTGTAAGAGATGAACCGGTAACACTCGATCTCAGCATTAAAAAGCCTCAGCGGGACAATTTCCCTCCACCTGCGCACAACAGTAAAATGCCCAGTGTACCTTCTCAGTCAGTTCCACTTCCTCCGCACTCTTCGAGTGGCGGAAGCACAATAACGTTGTATCGTACGGACAACTTTCCACCGCCGAGCCATCAGCAGCAACTACAGAACATTCCAGTGCATGGGCCGCCCTATGGGATGAGCTACCACGGCGAGACGATGGGACGCCCATCTAAGTCACCCTCTGGTTATATTACGACCGTACCTGGAGGACCACCGATGTCTTGGAATCAAGGCCCAGGAGGTCCGCCAAATGCTGGTTCTTCTATGGTTGGACGAGGACAGATGTCACAGCAAACTATCTCGTTAACTCCACCTCCGACGAAGAAACAAAATGCTCCCAAATTAAGTCCTAAGATGCCGCATCAAGTGCAATCGGTCATGCAGCAGCCACCGTCGCAATCCATCGGACCAAAGGGATCGATCACTCATGGTACACCAGTAAATGCCGCTGGCCAACAAATTATACTTCAAGGTCAAACCACGCTCAGTCCTCGCTATGACAATATGCTTCGACAGACGCCACCCTCATCGAACGACAAACATGGATCCATCACCCAAGGAACACCGGTTCACGTAACCACTCACACGTTACCGGATAAACGTGCAGCCTACGAGTACAAATCATACAACAATCGTCAGAGCCCAGCACAAGTGTCTCAACCGCCACCTCAAGGAAGTCCTCAGGCACCCCAATTTCAGTGTGGTAGGAATGCTCCTACATTTACCCTAGAACCGCAGCAGCTGAGCTCACGACAAATCATCATGAATGACTACATTACATCGCAGCAAATGCATGGTCAGTCGCAAGGACGCAACTCGGTGGGATCTGGTGGACGACCGGAAAAAGAATCTCCATCGCCACGAAGCGTTCCCAACATGGCCAATTCATCAGCTGCTTTACTGTATGCTGTTGCCGAACGGGAACGAAATACCAGGCCAGAATATCTGAGCCGAGCGTCACCTGCCGATCACGTTAACAGGTAAGATTGGAAAATAGACTCCATTTGTGGAACATTCGATTCGATCACCATTAATGTTAAGGGTTTCTCCTGTTTTCAGTACTCCTAGTCCGCACAGGACCCCCCCTCCACCGCAAAGGCAAGGGGTAATCCAGAGACACAACACTGTAGGAGGTAGTGGAAACGCCAGTGGTGGTGCTGGATCTAAACCGCCAAGTCCAGCTCCCAATCGATTGCATCTTGTCCCGCCGCCACATCATTATATGCAAGGTATGTTACGCTTTATCCCCTTAACAAACACGCTCAATAATTTAAATCTCACCATTCAATAGGACATGATGCATTCACTTCATTGGTTGATCTAGCCGTGCAGCAGCAGCCAATGACGGTACCGCACAAGGACGATAAGCGACCATCGATCGTTGAGCAGCAGCAGGCTCCGCAGCCACCGCCACCGACGCATCATGACATCCGCTATCACCCGGCAACAATGATTCAGATCCATCACCAACAGCAGCAGCAGCAACAGCAGCAGCAACAGCAACAACAACATCAAGCTGCAGCTGCAGCGGCAGCAGTTGCGGCAGCTCAACAGCAACAACATCAACATCAAGCAGCTGCTGCCGCCGCTGCTCAACAACAGCACGCAGTTGCAGTTGCAGCGCAACAACATCACGCTGCAGCGGTGCAGCAGCAACAGCAACTTCAGAGGCATCAACAGGTAATATTCACGTCACAAAGTTCCGTCAAATAGTGCTGATTTTTCAAATCTTGTAGCTTGACATGCAACGCCGTCAGCAACCCCAGATGCATCCTTCGATGCAGCATCCATCGGTTGTAGCCTATCGGGAACAACATATGGAAATTGTCAACTATCGGGAACGGCTCGAACGCGAACGTATGCAAGCCGAACAACGGGAACGCTCGATCATGGCCGAAAGGGAACGAGAGAGACAAATGGAACGTGAACGAGAAAGGGAACGGGAGAGGGAACGTGAGCGCGAGCGAGAGCGGGAACAGCGCGAACAACGTGATAGACAACAGCGCGAGCGAGACCGGGAGCGTTTAGCTCACCAAGAAGAGGAGGAACGTAGAAGGAAGCACTACGATCTTATTAATGAAAGAATGGAAAGGTGAGTTTAAGTGTAGAACTGAAAAGAGTAAGTAGCTTTGTAACATTTCTTAGTTTGCAATTTCGTTACAGGCCAATGGAGCCAGGAATGGGAATGCGACCATCTTCGGACGGCTCGTTGACCGCGGCCAATCTGATAGATGCGATAATTACCCATCAGATTAATCAGACGGCGTCGGAACCACCGCTGCCGCCCAACCGTGATCTGCACCGTCCTTCTTATGTGAGTATTTTTATATAAGCTGAGATAAATATAGGCTCAACATGATCACTGCAACCAACATTTACATATTTATGCTACATTAGCCCCGAATTTACATTCCCGAATGCCGATTACGAAAAGCCTTCTTTTGACTGCTGCTCGTTAGTTCAGTTCGAGGTCATTAAAATCTGGGTATTGGCGCTCAGGGTCCGGCAGAGCTGTTAATTTTCATATAATTCGATTGAAGATGAACCAGTACTACCATTAAATCAATTCTGTGCAACGAATGCCCATCATTTGAAGAGTCACTTTCTCAAATGAACCTCATCGTCACTGTCAATTAAGTCAATCACTATCACTATCTATACGGTAGTGGAGTATGGAAGAAACCCAGAAAAATGTCCCGAACAGATTTTTTTTTTTTTTATATCTTTATTAAGGAGACTTTCAGCCGTTGGCTGGCTCGTCTCCGATCCCGAACAGAATTTAAATTTGTTTTTGAAAAATTAAAAATAAAATTTCAAATTTTCTTGCAAATAGTTCAATTTATGATGGTCAATCGTGTGGGGCAAAAAGAAAGAAAACTACACCGACAACGGGATGAATCATGTATAGAACCTCTGTTTCTACCGTTGCCAATGCAAAACATAGTTTTATTAAGCCATTTTGCCACACGTGTCCCATAACGTGGGTAGATCTACTTTTCGGTACGGGATGTAAGATCTACCTATCCTAGTCCTGACTACTTCAGGAACAGGCAAAAGGATTTTTCAGTAATCAAAGGAACACATCTTAGCCATTGTTACTTTTTATGTCTTGTTAATAGTGATAAGTCCTCGGGTTGCATAAACCGAGTATGATCTTGGAACAAGGAAAAAATATAGATAGCAAAACATTTAAGTTTATTGACAAACCCCGCGTATTAGGTGCTGAGCGGAATTAGGGCAAGTCACGGTACCATATTTGTATTGAAACTGGACTATCGTCTTGATGTCTTCAACGCACTTTTTCCTTATGAACCAAGGAATAAGTGCGCCAACATGATTTAACGTAAAAACGCACATTTATAAGCGTTTCCGCACTTAAAATGTGTGGAATGCGCAATATTTAATAAACATTAAATTTTCAACTTATGGTGCTTGTTTTCGGAGATTGTGACCAGGTATGTATTACTTACAGCAAACTCCGCTACGTCATTTATGGATGGTTCCTAAAAGTACTTGTCATTCGGATACTTGAATACAAGTATCTGCTGTTTCTGAGCTTTGATTTTTGTTGCTTTTTATTCTTCTTTGGGGCCTCAGTGATCGCTCCGTGCATATTCAAGAGAGTGCCCACACTTATTCTATTTCCTCAGGCCATAACACGCACGTACTAATTGCTAGCTTCTTCGTCCTATTATTTTCCTTGCTGTTGCGTGCCTTCCGCTTGGGCAGACATTCATTTGGTGGGCTTCGATCTATAATAAGAAACATTCGGAAATGACAGTTACTTGGAATTTCCTTCTACATTTCCATATAAACACCTCATACACCTGTGTGCATGTTCCTCAGGTCCGCAGGAAATTTTTCAATGATTACACGTTTATTTGTCCGTATTTTCCCAGCACCAAAGCTAGATCGCGATCATATCACCCGCAGGTATTGAACGATGCCTTCGTAAGCGACATGTGCATCTCCACTGCCATCAACTCTTCAAGTATCAAACCAAAATCACATTTTCACTATTTTTGTAATATCTTCAGTAACTTTCAACGGATTTCTGATTTTTGTATCTTGTTGGTTCCCCTTTCTTATGGTTCGATTAATCATATCACAAGGTGGTTGGTACGATTGTTAGTTCAATTGTAAGATTTTCCATTTGTGTCGAGTTGGTAAAAAACAAATACGGCTGAATAAGAAATACGTATCCCCGGAAGTTGTACCTAAGATGGGAGCCCCATATGAGATCTTAGATCAATCATCGACTATCTCCGCAATTCACAAATTGTTACAGAAACCAACAGAGAAAACCAACGATCTGATTTAGCCGCCACGACTTTTAGCTCACACAGGCAATCCCTTCTTAATTCGTGCACTTATTCGTTCTTGATCCCGCCGACTGACGCCATCTGGCTGTCTGTCACGATATTGGAAACATGCGAGTTCCTCCGCTGCTTAACCAGCTACTGTCAAGTTGGAAGAATTGTTAGTGTTCCCGAATAAAAAAATACCATACAAAAAGAATGTTACAATTCAATAAAATTAAACATTAACAATAGAAAAGGAGGGTTGTTAGTTACCATAACAATTAGAAAATCAATTTTTTCTCGAAAAAATTTGATCTCATTACCATAAATTGTATTGCTTTTTTATTGTGCAACGTTTTGATTTCATGGAATCTGTTGTAAACCTATATTGTGGTGACTATTTGATTATTTGACCAATACAATAGAATTACAATAAGATTTATGGTCAACAATAGAATCTATTGTATTTTATTGATATTTTATTGTTCACGTTGATTGAGGAAACCCGCCGCAGAGGAGTGCCCGGTTTGGTCATCGAGCTTACTGTTGTGCATATCAAAGATACTTCTCTTTCTTCTTCGGTTGGCAGCCTGCAGTCGTGACTCTGCTCTGCGATTTCAAGAGTCAAGGTATAAGCTGTTGTGCTCGGGCTATCCTACTCCGGAAGATGGATGGCTGGATCGGTGGCAGTTTTGCCAGATCAAAAAAAATAGCACCACCGAAATCTAGATAACCGATCTGTGTGCTGAAAATAGCTGTGAATGTCTTAACATGGATGCAAAGAGCATTGTTCAGCTTTAAATAGGTTCATGTTCTAATACCCTTTGAGGGCAGCCTTGAAGGCGAAAATTGTTGGTTGTTGTTAACAGACGTTCAGCAAATATGACCAGACATTTAAAGTACCTCTGAACGGCATGAAAAAGCTGTTGTAATTTCCGTAATTGATCTCAAATTCAGGGGTTCTACTCTTATTTTCTTTAATCAACGATGGAAGTGTTGTAACTTATAACAATTTTTAAAATTCTTTAAAAAAATAACTCGTGCTTTATATCTCTTTTTTTTTTAACGGAATCAAGATTTATTTATTTGTTTGATTAAGAGTCACAAATTATTGAGACACTGCCTCTTGATTCCAAGTTCGTCCAACGAGTTGCAATGCCGTTCTAACGCATTGAAACGCTATTAGATTTTTTTTAGTCTTACGGATGTAAACTAATTCTAATCTTTATTATTTCAGTACCCATCCCGCGACCATCGCCCATCACCAATCAGTGAAAACAACGGGAAATCTCATTCACCCAACGTGATAAACATCGACGTCGACTCGGAACCTGTACGGACGAAAAACATCACGATTGGTGAATTGGCAGAGACCATCATTGCCAAAGACTACTCGCCGAACCCGAATCCGTTCCTGCAAATGCGTCCCTCGATGATACCTATGTCACTGGACCCGTCTATGGTGCCGTCGGAAGCGTGGAAATATCGTAGGATGCCACCGAGTAAGGAAGATCAATCACCCCACGGACAACCTCCGCCGTCTCCTTCGCAACAATCTGTGCAATTACAAGTGCAACAATCGCAGCAAGGACCACCTGGGCATCAATATGTGCAATCAGGAAACAAAGGTCCAGGACGATCTACACCTGACGATCGCCACATTATTCGGATGGCACAATCTCCAGGACCTCGAAATAAGTTTCACGATTCCGTTTCGCCTGACACGCAGTTTTTTCATCCGGGTGCGCCCCTAAGTCGAGGGCCACGTGACTTTGCCTTGGATTGCTACGTCAAGAATCGAATTGTGGAAGCAATGCGAACAGAAGATGACAAACGTGCCGATGATGGAAGAGATCAGCAATCGCCACGCAACCAGTCGCCTGCACAGCATGGAGGACATGGACCTCCTCCTCCTGCTCATCACAACAAAGATCACGATCGTAGCTCCACACCAGGAGATATGATGATTGATGAGGAAACTGGGCGCCCTGCCTCTGGAGGCAACAGTCATCGACCACCGTCATCTCAGCAAATGTCATCGCATTCGCAACCACAGGGAGGAATGCACAACTCCCTACATTCGTCACCCTACCTAGGAAATCAACCCGTTCCTCCGCCAGCGACCACTTTTGCTCCACCCACGTACTATCCATACAGTGCGTTGACTGTAACGGGTGGCCCAGTAGGCAATCTTGGTCCTCCAGGACCGCCCAATAAGACGACCCTGGTTGTACCAACGCTGGGTGGTGCTGGCGGTAGTAGCGGTATTCCACCACCCAATAGCGGTGGTGGTATGAACGATGACCGACAATCTTCATCCAATGCATCAATTGAACCGAAACCACTACTCTCGGCTCAATATGAAGCGCTCAGTGATGAAGATTAGATCAATCGTATTCATTTGTATCGTTGTAGAACGAAAATGATAGGACATCAACATCAACAAAACAAGTTGAATACACATTCAGTATGAATTCTATCTCATGCAAACTTGTAATTTATTATAAATATTAATTATAATACAGAAATTATGATAATAAAACTAAAGTATGAATGAATAATTATCTATGAAAAGGTAAGCATGTATTAAAAAGTAATACATAAAATGCTAGAACACTTTAACACTGATAAAGGCAAAAACAGCTAGAGATATACAACGAGAATTATTAATAAACAACACAATCCAGAATGAAGAGAAGGATAGAAAAATTATCGATTACTCCATTAAACGCTAAATCTATCCTATAAAAAAAAACCATCTGCAGAATAATCTTATCCAGTCGAAATACAACTGACAGAGATACAGAGTTTAATGCGCTTAACCCTTCTAAGAAACGTCCCCGGCTAGCGAGAAGCACATACGATTAATGAGAATCTACTCACACACATACACACGCAATCACTTCACCCTCGCAGGGATCATCGATCGTCGGTCGTAGGTAACCGGTTGGATGCGGACAGTTCCCGGACCAAGGGGGTGCAAGGGAAAGAGAACTGAAGTGAATAGATTTGGTCTCATCGTTCACGATTGTTGACTGTGTGTAAAATAAATGAACCAAATGAAGTTCTTCGCAAAGTACTACTCGAGAATGTTTTAATGTGTTTATTGAACAAAAAGAAAAACAAAATGTTAAAGTCAGAAGCTAAATATGTCAAGATGGAAGCTTATCCACGAAAACAAAATGGAAGGGATTTACTGTACGAGCTTGTTTGAAAAGCTAGAGACAAACAAACAAACAAATAAATAAATAAACAAATAAAAATAGTTCGTCTATGCCAACCAATCCGGGAGAATGCAAACCAACAAGTCAAACAATGCTAGGGCTGTTATGAGTTCTCATTGTTAGTTTTTCGTTTCGTTTTTCTTTTCTAAGTTCATAGCTTTCGTTCCAAACACATTCTTTCCTTTCTATCACGGAAAAATGTTTGAATTCCGGATATTAGCGAAGGTGAAAAGAGAGACAAAAAACAAAACTGTAAAGAAAATACTGTGTAGCATGTAACTTTTAGTATGGTTTAAGATCAGTGCAGAGCAGGCAAATAGAAGCAAGTGAAGCTAATGTTCCAATTAAGTCCAACTGCTGAGATTACCGCGCTGTACAATATAAATACAGAACTAAAAAAAACGCATACTGCATCAAGACAAAAAAAAAGAAGTTTAAAAACGAGAGAAAACGAGGAAAAAAGTGGTATGTTATGTTCTCTATAAAGTATAAAAATGCATGTAATTATATTATCGTCAAGTTCATTATAGTTCTGAATTTTTAAGTTACAACTTAAAAAAGAGAAAAACTAACAATTCATTGATTGCTGAAAATATAAATTTAGTTAGGTAGACAGAAAGAAATTAGATCGTCTTAAGGCAGAGAGAATCAATGATTAATATTATGTAACATTTGTGTTAAGCCTCTTTTTAGTTTGTAATTATTTCCTTCTTTTTCTAAAAAAAAAGTATATATTAACACGATATGCAAAATCTAAGCATTAAGTGAATAAAATATAAAATAATTAAAATTAACAATTTGTTTTTAATATCAAAATGGAATTATAAATGATCTTCTTCTTCTTTTCCTTCATTTAACGTCCGTCTCTGTACCGTTGTTCAACACACCTGGGCCGGGACCAACGGCTTACTTCCCTTCCAAAGGAAGACGTGACCAGAGATTTTTATGCCTCAGAAAAATCCCACCGTCCTCGCTGGGATTGAACCCAGAACCATTGGGGTGAGAAATCAGTCACGCTTACCACTACATCACCGGCGCCGGCTAATTAGAAATGATGACAATAGTCCAAATTTGTTTTTGATTCAGTTCCAACCTGGATTGGGTATCAAGATTGGGTCTGCTTGTTGACTGTCAAACGTCAGTGTGAACGTTTGTTTTTGTAATCTGGCTCGGGTTGAGGTTCGCACTGGTAATAAGCTCGGGTTCGCACGGGTTGGAACTGGTTACGGATTTATTCTAATGCACATACGGATACGGTCTGGAAGTCTCTACCACATTTGGCATAGCAGCTTCTATGTCTCGGGCAAAAATTTTTTTTTTGCTGTCTGGAGTAAGGAGGTCATCGACTAGTGTTGGAAAGTTTATTTAAAAAAAAAGTTCTTTCGCTATTCTTCAGATAATCATTTTGCTGAAAAACTAGCTGTGAAAAAATCGCGAATGAAATGTGAATAATACTTTCCGAAGGAGGTGAGCGAAACAGGGCAGCAAGTGATTCCGACAAACACGACAAGACAATAAACGGTTTTGTACCCAAGTTATTAACGAAAATGAAAATCGATGAAGAGAATCGACCAATGTTACTTTGGACCTAATGCATTGTTCAGCTAGATTTAAGTTGCATATATGTAGGAGTAACCCGTGAGTTTTATTGATGGAAGTATACATTTAGGATGCAGTTAAAACACATTTATAAAGTTGTCACTTTTTGCAACTCTCGGTTTACGTTACGCATAACAGTAATTCAAACTTCAACGGCTGCTTAGGAGTTACCAATAAAAAAGTTCACGAATCATAGTTCGCGATCTATTTCATCACATACTTATCGGGAACGAAAAGTTATGTATGGAAGTAAAAACAAAAAATATCTTTTAGCATACGCTCTCCCTCGCTAGTGATTCAAACCAGAAGTAATAAAGAGTTTCCCAAGAGGGATTTCCTAACTTTGACAGTTCATTGCGGCCATATTGTTGAAGCTACACGTGTCTTGTCAAATTACCATGGAGAGTTATAGCGTCCAACAGCACGTGCAAATGATAAAATTGTTTTATCAAAGTAAGTGTTCTTTGCGATCAACGTTCCGAGCGCTTCGCCCATTTTACGGTCGCAATAATCGTCCTACCGAGAGGACTATTCGCAATGTGGTGAACAAATTCGAGGAAACTGGTTCGGTGAACGCTCAACCACCATCAGTACGTGAACAGAACGCAAGGTCTGCCGAGAATATCACCACTCTGGATCAACAATAGAAAAGGGCCCATCAGCATTTGTAAACAAACCGTACCAAAGCCCATTCCTCATAAATCGAAGGCCGCTCACACAAACCAACACCATCATCGTGTAGGTAGAAGTTTCCCCTATCTGATGATGGAGTTGGTTTGCGTAGGTGGCCTTCACATTGTGAGTAAAGGGCTTTGGAACGGTTTGTTAACAAATGCTGATGGGCCATTTTCTATTGTTGATCCAGCACTGTACGCAAAAGTGAGCAGGAGAACCCGCGGCAGTCGACTCCGCGCCGCGCACAAGAACTGGGCCTCTCGCAGGCTTCAACTTGGCGAATTCTGCGTCGAGAATTGGGTCTGCACCCATACAAGATCCAATTGACCCAGGAGCTCAAGCTTAACGGTCATAGACAGCGCCGTTTGTTCGCTGATTGGCTTTTGGAGCAGTTGGAAACAGACGCTGATTTTGCCCGAAAAATCTTCTTAAGCGACGAGGCCCATTTCTGGATGAACGGGTATGCGAACAAGCAGAATTGTCGAATTTGGGACAAGACCAATTAACACGAGGTCCATTAGGTGGCAAATGAATCTCCAGAAAGTCACTGTTTGGTGTGCATTTTGGCCGGAGGCGTCATCGGTCCGTAGTTCTTCGAAAACGACGCTGGCGAGGCCATCACCATCAACGGAGAGCGCTACAGGTCGGTGATTATCGACTTCTTCTGGCCTAAAGTGGACGATATGGATGTGAACGATATGGATGTGTACGATATGTCGTTCCAACAGGACGGTGCAACGTGCCACACAGCGCACGAAACCATCAATATTCTGCATGAGCGATTTTCGGAGATGGTTATTTCGCACGGAGGCGATGCCAACTGGCCACCAACATCGTGTGATTTAACCCCTCTAAACTTGTCTTATGGGGTTATGTTAAGTTGCAGGTCTATGCCAATTAGCCGCAAACCACCGATGTCCTCAAAGCTAACATTACTCAAGTCGTCAACGATATTCCTCGCGATATTCAGCCCGATTTGTGCGCCAAAGTCATGGAAAATTGGACCTCACGGATGCACGCCACCAAGCGAAGCCGAGGCGGCCTGTTGGAGACAGCCAGTTGCATGCCGGTCTTGAAGCGAGCTTACATTGCCGTCAGCAACAAACTTTTAGAAATTTTAGCGACCATTTGGAGGCTAGCCGGGTCCAGTATCAGTCTGTCGGGAGCGATACGATTCGCCGTTGCAAGATGTCCACTCTTAGACCAGGGTCAAAACGTTTGAGTGTCGTTAAGAGGGTCTCAGAAGAGGAGGCGACCACCGAATCTCACTGCCCCGACTGCAATCGACCTGATAATGCGAACCAATACATAGTGCAATGCGACGTATGCCAGAGTGGACGACAGCATCAAAGATCGAAGCTTTAGTTGTATCCATTGTGAGGAAGATGGTGCACAAGCAATCTCGCCATGTCCATCACGAACAGGAAGTTCATCATCGATTCGCTTGGCGAATATTCAGCTGCAAATTCAGCAAATCGAAGAGGAGCAAAGGGCCCAGGAAAAGTTGATGAAGGAAGTACAGGAGTACGCCAAAGCATTGCGTGAGAAGGCGGTACAGCAGGAAATTGAGAGCAGAAGCAAAGCCATTCAAGAGAAGATTGAGCGGGAGTTAGATTTCATCAGAAGGAAGTATAATCTTCTGCAGAACGAGCTGAATGAAGGTGAGAATGGTAGCGTGAAAACTTATCGAAGCCAACGAAGTGCATCTAGCTCAGTCCATAAGTGGTTGAAAGCCCAGCGTGAGGGCGCTCTTGACAAGTTCCGGGAACAAAAATTCCCCAACTTCCTCAAGGTCTCGAACCGGAGCCATCCCAAAAGGGACTACTGCAACGAAGCCAGTGGATGACAACGTTCAACCAATCATCAATCAAGCAAACACTCAAGTCTCGCAAGCACAATCTAGTTTGGATTATCCCCTCAATGTGATATCTCCGCCCACTTCCTAACAGCTGGAAAATGCACTTCTCAACCAGGGAATTACATCGGAAGTAGGAACACGTACCAATGTGCTCGAACAGCAGGTTCGAGATCTGCAGCATCAACTAGACAGTCTTCGCCTACAGTCAGCGCTGCAGACACCGACAGAAGTTTATCAATGTCCGACTAGTCATCAACAGTTCCGGCGGCCCCCAGCGATTGGAAACAGTGCTGCTCTACCGAACAGGTTGGGAAGTATTCCGGCGTGCAAAGGTATGTTCAAACGACCCATAGTTTCATTCCCTTCGTCTCAAATGCCTCCCGTGGATTTCGGAAATATACGCGCCCATCCCGCTCCCAATGCAATACCCGTTGCGTCTGGTCCAGTCTCTTGTCCGCCTGTGTCATGCATCCCAAGTTATTCGCATTCGATTGTAACTCCTTGTGTCTCGCAAGCGTCTGGCTTGATTCCGAATGTCCCGAATTGTGGACCCACCGCTCAACAACTCGCTGCTCGCCACGTAGTCCCAAAGGAGCTCCCAATCTTGGATGGCAACCCAGCTGACTGGCCTTTATTCTACAGCAGCTACACCAACTCTAATGAAATGTGCGGATACTCTGATGCCGAGAATTTGATGCGGTTGCAGCGTTGCTTAAATGGTAATGCGCTACATGCTGTTAGCTGTCAGCTTCTTCACCCTTCATCCGTACCTCAGATCATTTCAACATTGCAGATGCTGTATGGTTGGCATGAGCTGGTGGTGAACAGTCTGGTTAACAAGGTTCTTTCTACACCTTCCCAAACGCGGATCGTTTAGAAAGTGTAATTACCTTTGGTTTGGCGGTTCAAAATTTATGCGGCCACTTACGTGCAATGGGCATGGAGAACCATTTGTCCAACCCTACTCTGCTGCAAGAGTTGGTTGGAAAGCTCCCAGCAGGAATTAAGCTGGATTGGGCACTTTATCAACGACAAATTCCTTACGCGGACCTGCGCGCTTTCAGTGACTACATGTCTACAATTGCGTCAGCTGCTAGCAACGTAACGTTCAGCACCGAGGTCATCCAGAAACAGGAGAAGCCGAAGAGCAAAGAAAAGGGCTAAGTCAACGCATATGCGGAAGACATCCGGAAGAACGCAGATCAGGAGAATCGGAAGTCGGGTGAGATTAGCAAGGAGAAACAGCCGTATCAACCCAAACCGTGCTCCGTGTGTCAAAAGCTTGGTCATAATATTAGAGACTGCAATGTCTTCAAGAGTCGGAACATCGAAGGACGGTTGAAGCTGGTCCAGCAGTTACATCTCTGCAGACGATGCTTGATTTCCCATGGAAAGTGGCCGCCCTAATAAACAAATACCATAAACGAACAATAACATAAATAGTCGAACTTTTCCATAAATGGTTTGGATGATACCCCAAACACGTCGTTAAGCAAAATAACCATAACAATTTTATTAGGGCGTGCAAGGTGTCAGGGTGCGGTATACAAGGGTGCGAGCTTCGACACCATACTTTGCTACACCCAGGGTAACCTGAGGGCACACCAATGACATCTGCCCAACCATCTGGAACATCTGCACCTGCAACCGGAAATGTGAATGTCCATCGACAAAAGCCACGGTCTACTCTTTTCCGTGACTTTATACGGCAAGAATTCATCAGTCGAAGTATTAGCCTTTCTAGATGACGGGTCGTCGCTCACTTTGATAAAGAAGGAAGTTGCGGACCAGCTCGGTATGGAAGGGGAACTGGAGCCACTTTGTCTACAATGGACGGGAAACGTAACGAGAATGGAGTCGGAGTCAAGGGTCATCCAACTCGGCATATTTGGGACGGATAGTAGCAAGCGTCATACCAACAATCAATACGAAACTAACGATTTTAAATTGGCTCACCACTTTAGTAGCCTATTGGTCCCAAGCAAACGATTAACGTACACCTATTCTAGTCGAAATTCTAGTACTACGCAATGTTTGTTTTGATTCGCTATGAAAGTTTGACAGATAAAATGAGGGGTTATTGGTTTTTCCTATGTTTCGAGGGGTGATTCGACAAGCTTGGGACCGAAGATAGTACCAGAGGTGATCCAAAAAGTTGAGCACGTTTCTTCGGGACCTACTTGTCTTAGAGTTACCTCTATGGTCATACTCTCGAGTGCGTACGTACGGTTGATCGTTTGGAGCTTCCTCCGCAGTCTTTGCAATTCAATCAACTGGTTCAACAGTTTCCTTACCATCGGGGTCTTCCGGTGAAAAGTTATAACGGTGCCACCCCTCGCATTCTAATTGGTTTGGAGAACACGGAGCTACTAGTAACATTGAAAAAACGAGCAGGTAGACCTTCTGAACCAGTTGCAACGAAAACTAAACTTGGTTGGACAGTATACGGAACGGTGGAAGGCCTGAACGAAACATTTGAACACCGTTTTCTGCACATCTGTTCTGGTTCCAATGATCGGGAACTACACGACGTTGTCAAGGAGTTTTTCCCGATCGAAAACGCTGCGCCAGCGGTAGAAGCAGAAGATGTCCGACGGGCACGGGAGATCATGCAACGGACCACGGTTCGCACAGCTTCCGGAAGGTTTGAGACGGGCTTGCTGTGGCGCTATGATTATATCGAATTTCCGAACAGTAGACCGATGGCAGAGCGGCGTCTTAAGTGCCTAGTGCGAAGACTGGAGATAACACCTGAACTCTACGAAAACGTCAGGCAGCAGATTGCTTCCTACGAGTCCAAAGGATACGCTCATCGAGCATCGGCGGAAGAGTTGGCCAATTTTGACCCTCGAAGAACTTGGTATCTTCCCCTCGGAGTGGTTATTAATCCAAACAAGCCGGGACAAATTCGAGTGGTTTGGGATGCTGTGGCGAAGGTGGATGGAGTCTCGTATAACTCCATGCTTCTGAAGGGACCGGACCTGCTCGCGTCTCTGCTTGCGGTTCTACAGCGTTTTCGTCAACGGCAAACAAGCAGTAACGGGTGATATCAGAGAAATGTTTCACCAGCTCCTGATTCGTTGCGAAGATCGTCAAAGTCAGCTTTTCCTGTGGTATGACAGTCCGTCTGGCGAAATCCACGTCTATGTCATGGACGTAGCGACGTTTGGGTCGACATGCTCACCGTGCTCTTCCCAATACGTCAAGAATCTGAATGCAGAAGAATGGAAGTGCGAGTTCCCGGAAGCTGTAGATGCGATCGTACATAACCACTACGTGGACGATTATATCGACAGCAGGGATTTTGTAGAGGAAGCGACGAGTATTACAACAGCAGTAAAAGAGGTCCATGCGAAAGCCGGATTTGAAATCCGTAATTGGCTATCGAACTCGGATGAGGTTGTGCGACGGGTCGGGGACGGCAGCGTTGCAGATCTTGACAGGGTTGTTCCAACGAAGCGCGAAGTCTTGAGGGTTGTAATGAGTCTTTTTGATCCTCATGGCATAGTGGCCGCTTTCGTAGTACACGGAAAGTGTATCATCCAGGACATCTGGAGGTCCAATGTGAGCTGGGACGAGCAAATTCCGGAAGAGATCTTCAACCGATGGCGTCGCTAGGTGGAAGTACTGAAAGAGCTGGATCAAGTCACTATCCCTCGCTGCTACTTCCCAAACTATTCACCGAACAGCTTGGACACACTTGAATTGCATGTGTTTGTTGATGCAAGTGAGGAAGCGTACGCCTGTGTTGCTTACTTTCGCATCATCGATCGTGGTCAGGTCCGCTGTGCACTTGTATCTGCAAAATCGAAGGTCGCTCCACTAAAACCACTGTCAATCCCGCGGTTGGAACTGCAGGCAGCGGTCATAGGAAGCAGATTGGTGAAGTCAATTGAGGAAAACCACACGCTGCCGATTCGTCGTAGAGTAATCTGGAGCGATTCAAGCACGGTGTTATCGTGGATACAGTTGGACCAGCGCAAATACCGTCAGTATGTGGCGGTCAGAATCAGTGAAATCCTAGATGTGACCAATATAGAGGAATGGCGTTGGGTGCCAACGCGCCTTAACGTAGCGGATGAAGCAACGAAGTGGATGAAAGAACCCAGCTTCCATGCGGATTGTAGGTGGTTTGTCGGACCTGAGTTTTTGTACCAGGAGGAGTCGGCGTGGCCAAAAAGGATTCTGCCAACAAAGGACACTGCTGAGGAGATACGCCCGATACATGCCCATCATCGGAAAATTCCTGAACCTCTGATAAACTACAGCAGGTATTCCAAGTGGGAAAGATTATTGAGAGCCACAGCATTCCTTCTGCGGTGTGTAAATAACTGCAGAAGCAAAATCAACGGAGATCCTGTCGAACTCAACCCCATTTTGTCTCAACGGAAGCTGCAGAATGCCGAGGAGTTTCTTTGGCGTGCCGTGCAGATGTAGGCATATCCTGATGAAGTCATCGTGCTCGGAAGACAGCAGCAACAATCGAGTGCAGCACGGTTGGAAAAAAACAAGCCCGCTTCACAAATTATCACCCTTCGTCGATGAGACTGGAGTAATTAGACAGGAAGGGCGAATCGGTGCTGCCAATTACGCTGCCTATGATGCTAGGTTCCCAATAGTGCTTCCACGGAACCATTACGTGACTGGACTCGTTTTGGATTGGTATCACCGTAAATACGCACACTGCAACGTGGAGACTATTGTTAATGAGGTTCGGCTTAACGGCGCCGGTGGTCTAGTGGTAAGCGTGATTACCTCTCACCCCAGCAGGCCTGGGTTCAATCCCAGTCGGCGCCGCCGGGATGTTCCTGAGGCATAACATCTCTGATCACGCCTTCCTTCGGATGGGAAGTAAAGCCGTTGGTCCCCGGTTCATGAGTTGATGGGTCGATAGGTAGGGTCCAGGTGTGGGAGCTGCCTTCCTGGCACGTCGGTAGCATTGGTGCTCGGAAAACAAGATCGACGGAAAAAAACAAACCAAAGGATATCGTTCAAATGGCCGTGTTGCTGACGGCAATGTGAACTTCGGTGAATTTTTGGATCTTCCGTTAGTAAACTTTAGTAAGTTTTATTTCAATATATAAACTTACAAATCAAAGGCATTGTTTACAAAAGCTGATACGTCCCTTTGAAAAAGTAATCGAGTATTAGGTTTTTGCGGTGTGCATTGCTTTTGTGCACAGAGTGACATGAAGCAGAAACGTGATATTTAGTTATTGTGTGGTTGAATTCGCTCGAGGAGGAATTATTTAAAAATGACTAGAGAAAATTAAGCATCGAGAATGCGCTCCCGGATATATTGATTTGGTGAGTACGTTCCAGTTGAAGATTGTTCTCTCTAAATATCCCTTTTTTGAATACATTTCATTAATCAAACATTATTATATGCTGGGTTTGGGGGGGGCAGCCTAAGGGTTTCAAAGGATTTGTAGACTTGACAAGGGTTCGTGGATTTGCCAGTCCCTTGTCACGTGTTGATAGACGTGCATCTTGTGGTTTGTCTTACAAACGTCTTCAATGAAGTTGATTCACCCTGCTGCAACAAACCATCAGTCTGGTACAATAGCAGGTTTATTTGGAAAATTTTCCATCTGTCAAATTTAGGAGAAAATTCACCAAATGGAACACAGCCCAAGCCAATATAAATATTACGTGTGTTCGTGTCTTTGCTCACGACACGATATGACACGATCGGATGAGTAGATGGCGGTAGTGTTTAACGTATTTTAAATATGGCGTCTTGGGCAAGAATTTGAATGTAGCTTCTATGAGCTAAACTAACTTTCATAGACCATTACAACACAATAACAATAACTTTCAGGACCCATACACAATTAAAACACTATATATCGCCTATGTGAGGTCAATACTGGAATATTGCAGCATTGTATGGTCTCCTGTTTTCAATCACGCACGAAGAAAGATTAGAATCCGTACAAAAACAATTTCTATTATACGCTCTTCGTAAATTAGGTTGGACATCATTTCCTCTTCCATCATTTGAAGCACGCTGCATGCTTATAAACATACAAACATTAAAAGAGCGTCGTGAATATGTAATGGTTTCATTTGTAAACGATATCGTTTCGCAGCGCATTGACTCCACAGAACTTTTATCAAAATTAAATTTCCATGCACCTACTCGGCAACTCCGAAATCGAAATTTATTTGCCATAAAACATCATCGCACAAATTATGCAAAATATGGGCCATTAAACCGCATGATGGCCTCTTACAATCAATACTGCGAAACCATTGACTTTACAATGTCTCGGCATAAACTAAAACAATAAGGCATTATAACTCATAAAAAATAGGAAAGCTGACACTGCTTAATTTTTATTAAAGAAAAAATTATACTTTTAACCTTTTGTCCAAAGTTGACGAAATAAATAAATAAATTTAAGAAAACAAAACTGTATTCTAATATGTACTAGTCTACGTTGGTTGACGAAATAAATAAATAAATTTGGTTTATGAGTGAATTATTTTTTTAAGTTTAAAGTTGAGAAAATAATTGGAACTTGTAACAAATGAAACTTAAAAAGGTAGGGTAATTTTTTTTTTTTATATATATATCTTTATTAAGGAGACTTTCAGCCGTTGGCTGGCTCGTCTCCGAATAAGGTAGGGTAAATGACGGCTTCGGCAATACATTATTCTATGTTTTGGCATGTGAAAACATTGTGTTTCAGAGCATCTTTTGGCCAAATTTGAGTGCTCTAGGACTTTGTTGACCCCTTTTTTTTTTTTTTTAATAATCCATTTATTTGTCAAGGCTCAAATGCGTTAGCTTTGCGGAGCCGAATATTTTTTACATTATTGTGTGTGAATATAATTTTCTTACAACTAATGTTAGTAGAACGGGGGCCGATTACTCGCGGTTTACTCGAGATTAGGGATTACATTTATTGATCATTTGGAGGGAGGACAAGGGAAAGCATTTTGAACTAATTTAAAACTTAAACGTAAAGGATGACTAAAACACAAAACACTAAACACATACATCAACAGCTTTAAGAAAGTCGTAAATAAGCTTCATAATGTCGATATCACGGCAAGCCAAGACGTCTCTAATTGGCTTAAAGGGTTGTTTTCCTCGGACCCTAAGGGAATCACACAGAACGGATCTCGCCTCACAATGCAAGGAGCAGGACCAAACAACATGCTCGATGTCGTGATAACCGTTTCCACAGGTACATATGTTGCTGTCGGCGAGCGTAATACGGAAGAGGTGGGCGTTTAACGAATAGTGATTGGACATGAGCCTGGACATTACACGAATAAAATCACGACTCATATCCAACCCTTTGAACCAGGGTTTGATCGACACCTGTGGGACAATAGAATGTAGCCATCTTCCCAGATCACCATCATTCCACTTTTGTTGCCAGTTGGCGAGGACTTGCTGACGAGAAATCGTGAAAAATTCGTGGTAGGCGATTTGTCGCTCGTAAATATCGCCTTCCATAGCGCCCACCTTGGCCAGCGAGTCCGCTTTCTCATTGCCCGGGATAGAGCAATGAGAAGGGACCCATACCAAGGTGATGACATGTGAGCTGTTTGATAAAGCACTCAATGACGATCGTATTTCCTGGAGGAAATACGCCGAGTGCTTCATCGGCCTCATTGAACGCATAGCCTCCAGGGAGCTTAGGCTATCCGTAAAAATGAAATATTGGTCAGGTGGAAGTGAGGCAATACGCTCTAACGTGTACGATATAGCTGCTAGTTCAGCAACGTATACCGAACACGGCTTTTGAAGCTTGTATGAGGCGCTATGAAGATCGTGGAATACTCCAAAACCAGTGGACGCATTTATCACCGACCCATCTGTGAAAAATCTCTTCTCGGTGGGGACGTGGCGGTATTTGTTCGCAAAAATAGTTGGGACAATCAGGGCACGGTGAGGCTCTGGAATTCCTTGAATCTCCTGCCTCATTGTGAGATCGAATCTCACGGAAGAACCACTGAAATGATGGGAGACAGCGCGATTGGGGTTGAACGAGGAGGGGCCGATGTCCAGAGTCATGTACTCGTAGTACAAGCTCATGAATCGTGTTTGAGGATTCCGCTCTAGCAGCTTCTCAAAGTTTTCGATCACCAGCGGGTTCATGACTTCACAGCGGATGAGGAACCGGAACGATAAATCCGCAAAACGATTTGTTAAGGGGAGGACGCCCGCAAGAACTTCAAGACTCATGGTATGCGTCGATTGCATACAACCTAGCGCGATTCGAATGCAACGATATTGAATCCTTTGGAGCTTCAATATGTGCGTCCCCGCCGCCGATTGAAAGCAAAAGCTACCGTACTCCAAAATCGAGAGAATGGTGGTCTTGTAGAGTCTTATCAGATCTTCCGGATGGGCTCCCCATGAAGTGCCGGTAATGGAACGAAGGAAATTGATTCGCTGTTGGCATCTCTGCCTCAGATACGCTATGTGTTTTCCCCAAGTGCACTTGGAATCGAACCAGACACCTAAATACTTAAACGACATGCTGTGAGTGATTGTTCTACCCATAAGTTGAAGCTGAAACTGTGCTGGATAAAGCTTCCTAGAAAAAACAACCATCTCTGTTTTCTCCGGAGAGAATTCGATACCCAGATTCATTGCCCAAGTAGACAAATTATCCAAGGTATCTTGCAATGGTCCTTGCAGGTCCGGTGCTGTTGGTCCAACCATGGAAACCACGCCGTCATCTGCAAGCTGCCTTAGCGTGCAATTTTCGGCCAGACATTCATCAATGTCTTTGACATAGAAGTTGTATAGGAGGGGACTTAAACATGAGCCTTGTGGAAGACCCATGTAGCTGATTCGTGCAATTTCCGTGTTGCCATGAGAGAAGCTCATTCGTTTCTCGGACAACAAATTAAACAGGAAATTGTTGATAATCGGAGAAAGCCCACTCGCATGGAGTTTTTCCGAAAGGATGTCGATGCAAATAGAATCAAACGCCCCTTTAATGTCCAAGAAAACTGAACCCATCTGCTGCTTTTCAGCATAGGCTAATTGGATTTCAGTTGAAAGCAACGCAAGGCAGTCGTTCGTCCCTTTGCCCCTACGGAATCCAAATTGCGTATCTGAGAGTAAGCCATTCACCTCGACCCACTTGTCCAGACGAAGAAGAATCATTTTTTCTAACAGCTTCCGAATACACGACAGCATCGCGATGGGACGGTACGAATTATGATCCGAAGCGGGTTTACCGGGCTTCTGGATGGCGATAACTCTCACTTGTCTCCAATCATCCGGAACAACGTTGAGCTCAAGGAATCGATTGAACAAGTTCAACAATCGCCTCTTTGTGACTTCTGGGAGGTTCTTGAGCAGGTTGAACTTGATTCGATCAATTCCCGGAGCTGAGTTATTGCATGAAAGAAGAGCAATTGAGAATTCTACCATCGAAAACGGGGAGTCCATGTCATCGTTTTCCAGCGGCGGATCGCGAGTGTTGCATCGGACCGGAACCGAATCAGGACAAACCTTACGCGCGAAGTCGAAAATCCACTTGTTAGAGTACTCCTTGCTCTCGTTGACCGACGATGCCGCGTTACGCATTCTCCTGCCGACATTCCAGAGCGTTTGCATGGAAGTCTCTCGCGATAGCCCTTCGACGAACCGACGCCAGTAACCGCGTTTTTTGGCCCTGACCAAGCTCTTAAACTTTTCCTCTAGCTCCGTATACCGCTCAAAGTATTCGCGGGAACCGTATTTACGAAACTGTTTAAACGCGGTAGACTTCTCTTTATTCACGTCGGTGCATTCCTGGTCCCACCACACAGTGGGAGGACGTTTGCGAATGGTAGTGCCAGGAACAGGCTTCGTTTGTGCTTGAAGCGCGCAATCCACTATGAGCCGCGATAGGAAGGAGTACTCATGCAACGGAGAGAGAACGTCGACCGATTCTGAACCGTCACGGACCGCGTTCGCGTATTCTTCCCAATTGATGTTTCTCGTGAGATCGTACGCGATGTTGATTGGACACTGTGAAGATGAACCGTTGGAAATCGAAATTTTGATGGGCAAATGATCACTACCATAGGGGTCTTGGATTACCTCCCACATGCAATCCAATGATAGTGAGTTCGAACAGAGTGACAAGTCTAGTCTGCTCTCTCTTGCTGGAGGTTTGGCTATTCGAGTTACTTCACCGGTGTTTAGAATGGTCATATTGAAATCGTCGCATAGGTCATAGATGATGGTTGAGCGGTTGTCATCGTACAGCTCTCCCCAGCCTGTACCGTGGGAATTAAAATCCCCTAAGATCAACCGTGGCTCAGGTAGCACTGAGCAGATGTCAGATAGCGCTCGCCGAGAAACAGCCGTTCTCGGAGGGATGTATAACGAGGTAATACTGAAGGTTTTACCTCTAATATTCACCTGACATGCGACAATTTCAATACCTGACACTGGAGGAAGGTCGATTCTGTAGAATGAGTGTTGTTTGTTGACCCCTAGGAGCACCCCACCGTACGAATCTGCACGATCGAGACGGATAATGTTGTAGTCGTGAAGAGAAAGGTTAACATCTGGAGAGAGCCATGTTTCGCAGAGAGCAAACGCATCACAGTGTATGTTATGCAGTAAAAATTTGAATATGTCTAGTTTTGGTAAAATGCTTCTACAATTCCATTGAAGGAGAGATACCGTATCATTTTTTGGAAAATTATCCATCGAAGGATACGAATGAAGCAAGGAGGGGCCACTTGGAAGCAAATTGCTTTAGAAAAGGTTTCACGATTGGAAGCATCATGTTAATGATGCTCCGAAGAGGGTCAGTGATGTTGAACAGATCGAGAATGCTGTCCACAATTCCAGAAAGCGTGAACATGGCGTTCTGCTGTTCTGGTTGCAAAACTGGGACATCTGGGGTTTTAGATGTTCCCGGAAGCCCCGGAAATTCTTTGTCATAATCGACAGGCTTAAAACCCGGTGGATTGGGTTTCGGTTTATTTCCGTGACCTCTTGATTTATCCAAGTGGGCTTGGGAGTCAGTTTTTTTAGTTTTCTGCGAGTCATTCTTGGATCGCTTCCTTGAAGGACCTTTGAAAACAAAAGGACTTCCGTCATTGCCCTCTGAGTCAGTGTCGTCCTCGTCAACTGGGAGAAGATTGAACGGATTATTGTTTTCTTTTTCCGGAGTGATTTTGGGAGGAGGATTGAAAGTCTTCAAGATCTCCGCAAAGGAACGCTGAGAGCGCGCCTTCAGAGACCGTTCAAGTTTTTTTCCTTGCTGTTTATACTTCGGGCAATCTGCGAGAGGATGCGGAGGTGCCAAACAATAAACACATTTAGGAGGAGCACCACAAGCACCCTCCGCATGCTTCTCGCCGCACTGATCGCATCGTGGCTTGTTGCCGCAGAAGGCGGCGGTGTGGCCTAATTGTTTGCACTTGGTGCAGTTCATCACCCTTGGTATAAACAACCGCACAGGAAGTCGAACCCTCCCAATTCGGACGTAATCTGGCAGAGTCGATCCGGAGAAAGTCACTCGAAACGAGTCAGTCAGCGAATAGATTTTTTTTGTCCCGTCGAGGGATGCTGACTGCATTTGGGTGCAGTCAAGAATCTTGACTTCTGGAAGAACGGGGTTCTTGAAGACACCAACCCCCCTCTTCAAGAAGTCATCGCAGGTCAAACTCGCTTCGGTGACCACTCCTTCGATTTCCACGTCACGACTGGGAATGTAAACACGGTACTCTAACGTAAAAAGCTCGCAGGCAACAATCTCATTCGCCTGCTTGCGGTTACCAACAGTGACGCGCAGTTTGTCTGGCCTCACCTTCAAAATGTCGGTCACTGACGAGAAACGTTTGAATAGATCTTTTTCGATCTGGTTAACGTTAAGCGGTTTTTGTTTGGGTCGGAAAAAAACAACCCATGGGCCTGTCGAGGCGTCTGGGTATGACTTATGGCGGGGGGCAGTTTTTGTTTTCTTGGCGGGGTTAGGCGGAGTAGGGGGTGACGGTTTTGGCGGTGTGGGGGGAGAGGGATTAGGTGGGGTAGGGGGAAACGGGTTTGGTGGTGCGGGGGGTGACGGTGCTGGTGGTGTTGGTGGCGATGGATTAGGCGGGGTAGGAGGAGATGGGGTAGGCGGTACGGGCTCCGGTGCTCGTTTTCGCCTGGGCCGCTTCGGGATGGTTCCGGTGTACTTCTTCACCGTGGCTGACGTTTCCACGTCGGACAGTTCGTCTTCAGTGGGAAGGGCAGGAAGGGTATTCCCCCCGCCATCACTATTACCATCCATTGCGGGGCAACTGCCACCGCAATAGATACAAAACAACTACACACAGGGAACACACAGGGACAAGAGAAAAAGAAGAAGAAGAAGAAGAAAATATTTGCGTGGGATGGGAGAAAGGGGAAACTAAAACAAAGGGGCAATAAATAAAACTTATTCGCTACTTAACTACACCGGCACAAAGCGTGTGTGTGGAAACGCTGTTATCACGTGGTGCGTTGGTGTTGGTCCACGCTGCTATCCGGTGGTGATGGTTGGTGTTGGTGGGTCGGCAAGCTGGTGATACGACACGCTTCACTATCACTTGCACACCCTCGCGACGGCGTGAAAAAATGATGGACTTGACGACGCCGTTAACTCCGGTGATGGATTACCGGGATGAATTAAAGCTGGATGGTAACTCCAAGGGGCTCGGCCGATGGAATTCCACTTCCTCTGTTGGACACTGGTCACTTGGGGCACCCAATGGGGGGTGAAAAAAACCGCTCGGGCGGAAAAAACACCGAAAAAAACTAGATGCCGCGCAACTGAAACCGGGACGTTGTTAACCGACTGAATGCTCAACTAGGAATCATGTTGTTGACCCCTTGACGATAATAGGTTAAGGTATTGCCGAAGCCGACATATCCCTTATATTGTTTATTGCAAATTCTTATAACAAAGAGAGATTTTTTTCGGTAGGCGTATCTTAATAGTTATTGAATGTTTATTTTTATGTTATTTTTGGAACGTTGCATCTTACAAGATCCTTGTTAATAGCTACGTATTTACAGTTTCTAAAAACATATGATTGTTACACCTACTGCTGATATCAGCCATGCCGGTATTTCTTTTTTTGTCATATTTTGCTGTTGCGGGAAACATATGTTGAACACCTGGGAAAAACTGGGAACTAAATTGTGAATTGAATGTCTCCAATACAGTGGCCACCCTGTTATTAGCTTTAATATGCTGAATAAAATATAACTAATGTACTGATTTTGTGATTTCTTATAGATCGGGCTACATTTGATTGCACACACAAAACATACTGCTGAAAACTTTCAAACGCGCGCGCACTCTCGTACGAAATATATCACAACAGATAAACAGGTGGAAAAACGTTTCGCCAGTGATCTGCAGAGGAAGTAAGCAGTGCTAGTGTGGTCAGTTCTACGGTTTTTTAGATTTACTGCGGATCTACGGATCGACCAGACAATTCTACAGATTTTCCAGATTTTTGGATGATGATGATGATTAATTAACGCAGTTTAAACAAATCTACGTATCTACGTACCGTACTCCACGAAAAGTTAATGACACTCGTTTAGCTTGGTCGCATCAGCTGGTTTGTGTTTACAGAACCAGCGAGCAACAAACTGTAGTCGAGCCACTGTGTCATCACGAAATTGAATTGATCAAAACATCAACCGACTTTTTTTTCTGATACTGCGAGAGATGAATTGATCAGTTCCTCTCGCGCGCGACTCGCGCAGGACCCATCTGCGGATTGGCGATCTCTATTTGTTGTTCTCCTCTGCTTTATTTTTTTTCACAATCATCGCCGTCAGTCGCGGATACTGTTTTGTACCGGACCATTCGCAGCTGTATCAGTTGACATTTGACTTCAGAACGGTTCGGTCGAGTTTATATTTTGGAATTTGGATCTAGTTTTTCGTTATATCGGTACGCGAGGGCACGTTTCGTGTCCCATTCGTTTGGTGCTCTTCCGCTTATTGTCGTGGGGCAGTTTATTGTGTGATAATCGAGTGCATGTTGAATAAAACTATACTGGAATAAATCATTGCGAAAAAGAGCTTGCAGAGAGATTATTTCTGTGATGTGAAATCATGCTGTTATGCTAACGCTTCTGGAGCAAATCGATTAAACGTGGAGTTTAAAACCTGGAAATTAAAAGCTTGTGTCAATCGGTCCTCAGTCCGAGTGGTTTTTTATACTGTGTATTTTTAAATACTTAACCTAAGGTAAATGAACAAAAGTTATTTTTACTATTTATAATGGTTGATAAAAGTGTGCATCTATAGAAAAAGGCGTTTTAAAAACAATAGGGCAACTTAAATTTGAATGTTCAGCATGGTTAAAAACGTTATTATTTGTTTGTTTTGCCAAACTGTTCCAAGTAGATTAATGTACGTTCAGACACTACAGAGTTATAACATGTTATAGCGCTATCTTGATGGTGGTTTCTGTGTTGGAATTAGTTGACAACCGTTATAACATGTTATAACTCTCCAGTCTGAACAAGGCATAACACAGTTCAGACTACAATTCTTTCGGATTCATACTACTAGTTTGGGTTTGGGTTTATATCATACTAGTAATTGATGATATTGTTAGAAATTATTTTGATCTTGGTGCCCATAGTGAATCTTGATCATATTTAAAAACAAAATCTCACATAAGATTGCGCGTTTTTTAATCGATTTTCAATCCGAGTCCCGCAGGGCCGAGCGTCATACCAAACGGCTTAGCTCGACGATTTCGTAAAATGTATGTGTGTGTGTGAATGTTACGAAAAATTTTCTAAGACGTGTTTCTCGGCAAACACTGGACGCAACAATCACCAAATCAAAGGTTTCATGGTTCCAATATATTTAGAACAGGTCAACTGGTTCCAGAGATATGTCCGGAACATCATCTGGTTTGTATGGGCCATGAGACTAACTCCTTCCTTTAACGAATAAAACCCATCATCTCAAATGAAATGAGATTTAAAAATCCAGTTCAATGGCAGTAATTTGAAGTGCCCAGGACCACACTGGCCACATCTTGCTATGTTTTAGGAATCCCCGGAAAGTGGCCAGTTTCTGACTTGGGTCAAAATCCTTCATTCAATACCTTTAATCACAGCAGTATTCATCTATTAAATCTTATCATACGAGCACTTTTGGTAGAATTTTTATTAGTAAACAGGGTCGGATTTCACCATAGGTGGATTAATTCAGGAACATGTCTTGTTGCAGTAAACGTCAGCTCATATAACTCTACTGAAGACATCCATCCGCTCTTCGCACAATCAAGCTGCGAAGCGGACGATCCCTTATCATCAGATTTCGATCAAAACTTTTTCTGTATAATTTTACAGTGTTCAATTCTAAACAGTTGTTTATATTTTTAAAATTTACCATTTTGAACAAGATAGTCCCCTATTTTTTTTATATCTTCGGATGTGTTGTAATGTTTTTAAATCTAATATAATCTAATCTCACACTAACGCAGCCAATACTTTGAAAGCATCCTGGAAAATGACGGCTTCACGAATCCGTCATTTTTCTTGTCAACGGCCAGGCCAACTGCGCAGCATGTGCCGCAGAGAGGATTTCAAGCAGTCAAGTGATGTCAGAAATGAATATCTGAAACCACTCCACAACCTGAGATCAAGGGAATAGAAGAAAGCGTAGACCTCCCGTACCAAACGCTTCCAGTTACAATTGAATAATAGTATTTATATGTTTTCGTTGGGAGCATAATTGCTATAAAATTTAATTTATGCTCCTGGTGTCTTTGGATGAACTTTTGGCGTTTGAACCAAAAGCCAGGCTATTTCTGGGTTAACATTTGAAACAAGCAACTGAATTTCAATCGAGTTTGTCCATTATCTGTGTTTAAATAAAAATCTATCAAATAGCGAACGCTGTAATTCACTAAGTTTAACTAGCCAATACAGTGTTCACTCGGCTGTCGACAGAAGCAGACCACTCTCAATGTGTGTCACGCGATCGTCTGTTTACTCGGCAGCAACCATTGTGTGGTCCTCCTCATTGTTCTTCATCAGCAGTTCTTTCAGTCGATGCGTCGTTGACTTTGCAAAGCAACCGTTTCGTGATTATTGTGTGAGTGCTGACCACGTTTTGCGTCCATTGCTACAATGGAAGCGCTCTGACCCTCGTTGGCGAATCGGCCATACAAGTAAACCACTGGAAGCGGCTCCCGTTCTGGTAGAGGAGGCTTATTGGATAGCGGAAGATAAAATGTTTATTGTGTTGTACCTTTTGACTATAGTTTTAAGATGTATTGTATAGTGAACAAGAATCCTCGGCTCTGTAAAGTTAATTCGGTTGAGCCTTATCAAATAAATTAATAATAATAAAAAAACTAGCCAGACGTAACTCTTCATTGTGTATCTTCGTTCATGCATTTAACGGTTGATTTGAATATTATCAGTTCCGCGAACTACTCGCCGCAGCGCTGGCATCGGATCACTTTGACGTTTCTATATATTCTATAGAAATTTCATGCAATATTGTTTACGAGTTAGCGAGCAAGCTTGTTTTCCGCGAGAAGCCAGATAGATGTCGCTACTGAGGTTATATGTTTTGAGATACTATGTTTTCAAGAACAAGTTTTTCAAAGAGTTACGTCTGTTTGTCTGTGCCAATACGTTACATTCGTGTAATCTCCATTACACAAGTAACGACAGCAGTTGAAATGAAAGTTGAAGACAAAAGTAAAGTTCCAGTTGGGACGTTATAAATATGAGTAAAAAGAAGAAATTATCAAAATTTCGCTTTAATGAATTAATGTTTCAAAGGCATCTTTTTTTGCATGGTGACAGAATTCTGAACAACTCAACTGTGCATCATCCAATAGGTCTTGTGCAGGTGCTGTACTGTAAATTTCAGCTTTTATCAATTGAATTGTATCGAGTAATTTTATATTAAAAAACCTGATTCAGCTAGTAGTTGGAAATTACAAAATATTCTTTTAATTTTATCGAACCCTTTATGAAGAGCTTTTTTGAATGTGTTGGTTTATTTCCTTTCAATTCCGTTGTAATCGCTTATCTTTTTTTTACTACTTGTAAACTTCATCAGTGCCAAGTACTCAACAGTTGAGTACTTGGCACTGGTGAAGTCGACGAAATACACGTATCTGTCAAAAGATAAGCAATTATACCGGAACACACACACAAAAGCTCTTCATACAAAATATTCTTATCTGTGTGCCTTGTCACGACTACGGACATGAAAAATGTCATCAAGATGGACTTTTTTTCAATAGTTTATTTGTTAGGCCCAAATGTCCAAATGGACTGCACGGAGCCGAGAACCATCAAATAATTAAATAATTACATTAAAATATTAAGAGGGACATACCTAGTTCTTCTTACTCTTCCTTCCGTGCCCTCAACTCCCTTGCTTCTGCGAATTGTTTTTGCTTCAGCAGCGCCAACCGCTTGGCCTTCTCATCGTCCTTTATCCGCTCCTGCTTGGTATAGTCCACTATTCCGAGTTTGGAGTAGTAATACGCATCGTTCTTGCATTTGAAAACAGGCGGCTGCTGTTCCTCAGCAGCGCTTCCTTCTTCTTCACTGAGCTCTTGACGTCCGGGGACGTCACATCCATCACCATCACCTCTACTTCCAGGACCTCAACCGCTTCCTCGTTTGGCGATACACCGATGCGTACGTTCTGGTCTCTTTCTCGTTCCGTTGTGGGTTTTCTTCTTCCGTTCATTGTTGTACTGGCTGCTGATCCTTTCGCTTGGGGCAGGAATTCAATTGATGCCCCTCCATCTTACAAAGGAAACACAGATGTTTGTTCTCTTGGCAGCATATGTTCCCCTTTCGATTTAGGAAATGCAGCGAGTTGGAAATCTTACATCCATATATGCACACCTGTGTGCATATCGAGGCCCAAGGCCGCTACACACTTTACATCACCGAATTTCCCGCTATGCGGGACTTCTGGTGGTAGTTCGTAAACTCTCACGTACTTTAGAGTGTCCCAGAATGTCTAAGCACGATTTTGGAACACCCCTGTTTGTTTTAGATGACGTTTAAACAGCTGATTATCATTGTGAATCATTGTTTACATTTCGACCAACAATTTCGTGTATCGTAAGCGTCGGTCCTTTTCATTCCCGTGACAGTGCGCAAACAGATCGTGCACAAATGGTGCACTAACCCAACATTTCTCTGCGTCAATTAGCGAAATTGGAAGGTGTAAGCATCGGAGCCGGTTGAAACGCGATACGGAAGTATGGCGAGGAAGCAACTTTCAAGCAAAAATCTGGACGTAAACTCAACCCCTGTTGACCAAAATCTTGACCGGAAAGTCATGCAAGATTTCACTCACAAGAAAAGTGCTTCGGTTCGAGACGTGGCTAAAATAGTGGGATCCTCGAAGAGTAAAGTCCAGTGGTTCTAGGCAAGAATGGGGCTAAAGATGTATAAGAAGCAGAAGAAGTCAACGCGAAGTGAAAAACAAGTCAAACCGAGGGCTCGGAAGTTATACGACCGATAGCTGTTTGGAAAATCGGTGTGCGTAATTATGGACGATAAACCATACGTAAAATATGATTACAAAACTCTTTCGGACGATCAATACTACACCGTTCGTGATGACCGAAGTGTTGACGACGCGAATAAGTCGATTTTAACCGAAAAATTCGCATAGAGGTAACTCTAAAAACAGAAGGTCTCGAAGAAACGTGCTCTACTTTTTAACAGCTGAGTTCTGGTACTCTCTTTTGTTCCAAGCTAATCGATGCACCCCTCGAAACATAGGAAAATCCACGAACCCCTCGTTTAACTGTCAAGTTTTCATAGCGAATCAAAACAAACATAGTGCAGTACTATAATTTCGACTAGAATGGAGTACGTTCATGGATGTACTTGAGACCGATAGGCCAGTCTAGAGTGAGTCAATTAATTATATGATTTGAGTAGAAGCTATACTGAAGATCCGAGAGATGTCGCCCCTTCATTGGTAGGAAAATAATTTTTGGAGCATGGAGAATATCAGAAAATCCACGATTTGTGACAAAGCATGCTTTCACAGAAGGAAACAAATTAACGAGTATTTACCTTATAACCATAGTAATGTACTCGTGCAAATTTTGTGCATCTAAAACTGCTCATAAAGACGATAATGAATAAAAACTGAAAATTTTCATGCATTTCCAAATGGTTTCCTACCATTCCCATACATTCGAAAGTGACTGGCCCTCTGGATGTGGATGA